CCTTGCCCCTTGGCTATGATGCTCCACCTCTCCTGTTACCTAGAGCAATTCAGCCAGCCCTCCATGGATGGAACCTCTGAAACATGGGCCAAAATAAACTATTTTCATCCTCTAAGTTGTTCTTGTCAATTTTGTTTGTTTGTTTTTGTCACCGTGATGAAAAAATTACTAATATAAAAAGTTGGTACTGGGAAGTGGCTCTGTCTGTGACTAATCTGTGTGACTCAGAAGAGTTTAGAACTGGTTTCGGGGAGCAGTTTGCAAAAGTTTGGTTGGAGAAGTCTTAGAATGTTGTACTCGGATCTTAATGGATGTTTCTGGTGGGAGCTGAAAAGACCAGAATGCCAGTATAAATGTGGACAGTCAAGACCGTGCTCATAAGGTTTCAGAGGCGAACATGTACTCCCCTGGATATTGGACTAGAGACCAGTCATATTATGTTTTCACAAAGAACTTGCCTACATTTGGCCCATATCCTGAGACTTTGTGAGAGGCTGAACTTAATTCAGGTGGTGGACTAATTAATCTGGTGGAGAAAATTACAAGGCTGTCCAGCATTCAGGCAGGTGGGATGTGATTGGAAGAGGTGGGTCACTTGGGGAGTGCCCTAGAAATATTTACCTTCCCTGTGGCCAGCCCTCCCACGTCCACACTTTCTGGCCACAGTAAGTGGAGCAGTGCATGCATCATACCATTCCAATATGATACACCTCCTAACCTAGGGCCCAGACCAATGGAGGAGTCCTGTTCTTGGATTGAACCTCTGAAATGTGAGTCAAAATAGACTTTCCCCTCTCTAAGTTGTTCTTGTCAGATATTGTGGTCACAGCAATGAAAAGCTAGCTAACACAAACACCTTAGAGGGGAAATAGTAAACAGCTTGAGTGGGATGCCCAGGAAGCATTCTGTGTGGGTCCACTCCCTCACCTAGGTCGTACGGAATAGAAGAGAGGGGTTTTCTCACTGTTAACAACAATAAAAGTGGACAAAATGTATTAAGCCAAAATTTTAGGCATGGGACAATAGACAGAGCGATAGCATGAGTCTCACATGCCCCCAAGCCCCTGCCTCTTTCCTGGCTATGGTGCAGTGCACTGGAGTTCCACAGAACACAATAGTCCCTTTGAACTGAGGAGGTAGAGGTCAAACTTTCACATAACCGAAATGTCTTCCGTATCTGGAACTGGACACCAAAGCAGAGGGAATCATTGGAGGAGTCAACTCAGAAGGAATGTTATGGTTTGGATATGAGGGGGGCCCCCTAAAGCTCCTGTGTTAATGTAAGAATAGTCAGAAGTATAATGATTGAATTGTGAGAGCTGCAACCTCATCAGTCCGACTAGTTTGAATGGACTAACAGGTATTAACCACAGGCAGGTGGAGCATGGCTAGAGGAGATGGGACACTGGGGCAATGTCTTGGAAGGGTTCATCTTCCATGAAGGCCCTTTCTCTCTCTGTTTCCTGGCCACCATGAATGGGACAGCTCTCCTCCACCATGATGTTTTGTCTCACCTTGGGCTCAGAACAAAAGTCTAAACCTCTGAAACTGTAAGCCAAAAAAACAAAAACCAAAACCTTTTCCTTCTCTAGTTGTTCTTGTCAGGTATTTTGGTTACAGCTTCAAAAAAGCTGATTCATATGAGTAGATCCCTGGGTCAAGGGCTGTTTGTACAGGGAGACTATTGAGTCTCCTCAGAAAGAAGTTGTTGTGCAAACAGAGATACCAGTGGCCACGTGGTACCGGGACACATTAGAGTCCTGACCCAACTAGAGGGGTCAGTACAGTACAAAACTGTAGAACAGCAGTAAAGGCCATGTCCTAGAGAAAGTCCCACCCTAGATCTGCTTTGAAAATTATGAAGAAAAAAAGCAGCCATTTAAATATGTTTAAAGAGTTGAAGGAAATATAATTTACTAAGTGAACGAGGAAAGTTGAGAGGAGAAATAGAAAGTATAGATTCCAAAAGTAAAATAATGGAAATAAAAAACTCACTGAATAAGCTTGATGGTAAATTGGAGATAACAAAAGAGAACTTAAAACAGATCAGAAAGAAAGAGGGTCATAAGATGGAAAAGAAATGAGCGGATCTGAGGCTTGGAGAGACACAATAAATAACAAAATGAAATTAAAAACTGCCAGACCTACAATGTAGAAAGTTCTACAAGATAAACCACTTGGTTTCTTCATGACAGAAATGGCAATAAAGGAAGGAGACGCTCTGATAGATCAGGAGGAGGGCTGGAGTTATATCAATGAAATGCAAGGCATGGGGCTTATTTGTATCCTGATTTTGGGCAAAAACTATATATAAAAAAGACATTTTTGAGGAAGAAAGAGAAAGGAAAAGCAGATTACTATTCAATAATATTAAAGAATAATTCTTACTTTGGTTTGGTTTGGTGTGTTTCAAAGGAGATCAATATTGAAGCAGTTATTGATGAAACTTTATATTGGCTAGAACTTGCCTTTAAATATTGTAGCCGCCAAACATGGAAAGAGATGGATAAAGCAAGAATGTCAGGATAGTGACTAAATGGTGAAATTCAGACAGAGGTGTGTGAGGTAATTTACTTCTTTCTCTAGTTTTGTGCCTGAAAATTTCTGGTATAATGTTCAAACCAAACGGCGGGTGCTACTGTGCCTCACAGACTGGGGACAGGATTCCCTGGCGTTCCTGGACTCTGGGGCAGGGAGCCTGACCTGAGCCAGTCCTTAAACTGCCAGCACACCCACCCAAGTAGCTCCCTCTGGCAGAGTCAGTCTGAGCCCTGTTCTTTTGTTCTCATACTTTCTCTTTTTTGGCTGTTTGTGTGAGGCAAGGTCACACGGGTCCCATTCAAGCCTGGCAAGTGTCATCAATCCCTTTTTTGGCCTCAGTTCAAACTGCAACCTCGAGCAAAATTAGCCCAGATCTCTTTACTTTGGAAAATAAAATTGACCCTTTGAATTCAATTTAGCTCAGATCTTGGTGGTCAAGTTCAATCGGCAGAGCCCTGGAGGGCCGGCTATCATCTGCACCTAACCCACAACTGTGGGAAACAGGTCAGGTAACACCGAGACAGAAAAGCTGAATCTTTTTTTTTTTTTTTTTTTTTTTTTATTTATTTTTTTTTATTTTATTTTTTTTTTATTGTTGGTTGTTCAAAACATTACATAGTTCTTGATATATCATCTGCTGAATCTTTGAGGGAAGGTTTTTTGAGGATAATGGGAAATTATGCATGCTCCCAAGCTAAGGTCAATGATCCAGGGTAATAAAAATGTTAAAAACTTGAGAAAGTGGGATTAAGCATTAAAGCCAGGTCCCAAAGAGAGCAAAATAAGGATCATGGATACAGCTGAAGAATTCATTTCAGAAAGAGAGGGGATTTATTTTTCTGTACATTGGTGGAGAGAAAAAGAAACAGCAAAAGAAACTACAGAGACAAGGTAAGATGGACATGAAGGAGGTGGAGGTAGCATTTCTCTGGTGAGAGGGATTTTTGAAGTCAGAAGGAATAGAGAAGGAGAGAAAGGAAAGGGCTTAGGCTCAGGGCTAGAATAACACCAGTGGTATAAAGACTCATCGGGTGCTCTTCAGGGATGGCTCAGGAGCTGGACTGGGCGTTAGAGAGAGGATAGGGGAAAGCCAGAGAGCTGCCCGGGTTCCTAGTGGACCTCTGAATGTGACTTTAGGCTGTACAGTAAATGTGGATGGGAGAGTAGGGGTCCTCCAGTCAAATAGCTCATTTCATGTGGTACAGAAAGACCAGGAGAGGACAGTTCAGAAGGTGGTGGTTAAAGGGCTCCATCCTGCAGGGAAGTTCATGTTCAGAGCCATCAGCTTGCCTCTCTCTCCCACACCCCACTGCCTGCCTGGCCAAGGTCCCTGGTGAACAAGCTGGCTTAGATCTAAATCAGAGGCAACACCCTAAACAACCCTGGAGGGCGTGGAGCATTCCTATGCTACCCTCTCCTCTGCTTAAGTCATGTTTTACAGCCCATTCTACAACAGATGTGTAAGCTTATCTTTGTTCTCTCACCATGGAGAAAATAAGTGTCACGTCAATGTAATAATGAGAAGGCTGCATTTTCATACACAGAGAAAATATAGGCAGCCTATATTTTAAAGTAAGTTTATTTATTTTTTCTTTTTTTATTTTATTAATTTTTAAAATTTATATATGACAGCAGAATGCATTACAATTCTTATTACACACCTAGAGCACAATTTTTCACATCTCTGGTTGTATACAAAGTATATTCACACCAATTCATGTCTTTATACATGTACTTTGGATAATAATGTCCATCACATTCCACCATCATTTCTAACCCCATCCCCCCTCCCTTACCCTCCCACCCCTCTGCCCTATCTAGAGTTCCTCTGTTCCTCCCATGATCCCCCTCCCTACCCAACTATGAGTCAGTTACCTTATATCAGAGAAAACATTTGGCATTTGTTTTGGGGGGATTGGCTAACTTCACTTAGCATTATCTTCTCTAACTCCACCATTTACTTGCCAATGCCATGATTTTATTCTGTTTTATTGCTGAGTAATATTCCATTGTGTATAAATGCCACTTTTTTTAAACCATTCATCTATTGAAGGGCATCTAGGTTGGTTCCACAGTTTAGCTATTGTGAATTGTGCTGCTATAAACATTAATGTGGCTGTGTCCCTGTAGTATGCTGTTTTTAAGTCCTTTGGGTATAGACCGAAGAGAGGGATAGCTGGGTCAAATGGTGGTTCCATTCCCAGATTTCCAAGGAAACTCCATACTGCTTTCCACTAGTGTTATCCTAACCCTGAGCCTAGATTGCACCAATTTGCAGTCCTACCAGCAGTGTATGAGTGTACCTTTTTCCCTACATTGTCGCCAACACTTATTGTTGTTTGTCTTCATAATAGCTAGCATTCTGACTGGAGTGAGATGAAATCTTAGAGTAGTTTTGATTTTTCATTTCTCTAATTGCTAGTGATGATGAATCACTTTTTATTATATTCGTTGATTGATTGTATATCATCTTTGATCAAGTGGGATTCATCCCAGGGATGCAAGTTGGTCCAACATACAGAAATCAATAAATGTAACTCATCACATCAATAGATTTAAAGATAAGAATCATATAGATGCATAAAAAGCATTTGACAAAATACAGCACCCTTTCATGTTCAAACACTAGAAAAATTAGGAATAAAAGGAACATATCTCAACATCATAAAGGCTATCTATGCTAAGCCCAGCCCAACATCATTCTAAATGGAGAAAAATTGAAGGCATTCCCTCTAAAAACTGGAACGAGACAGGGATGCCCTCTTTCACCACTTCTATTTAACATAGTTCTTGAAAAACTGGTCAGAGCAATTGGACAGGTGAAAGAAATTAAAGGGATACACATAGGAAAAGAAGAACTCAAATTGACACTATTTGCTGATAATATGACTCTGTATCCAGAAGACCCAAAAAGTTCCACCAGAAAACTTTTATAACTAGTAAATGAATACAGCAATGTAGCAGGATATAAAATCAACACCCATAAATCAAATACATTTCTGTATATCAATGACAAATCCTCAGAAAGGGTAATTACCCCATTTACAATAGCCTCAAAAAAATACTTGGGAATAAACTTAACAAAAGAGGTGAAAGATCTATATAATAAAAATTACTGAACCCTAAAAAAAGAAATCAAAGAAGACCTTAGAAGACCTTGCTCTTGGATAGGCAGAATTAGTATTATCAAAATGACCATACTACCAAAAGCACTATACAAATTTAATGTAATTCCAATCAAAATACCAATGATATTCCTCATAGAAATAGAAAAAGCAATCATGAAATCCATCTGGAAAAATAAGAGATCCAGAATAGCTAAAGTAATCCTTAGCAGGAGGAGTGAAGCAGGTGGATTCACTATACCAGACCTTAAACTATATTATAGAGCAATAGTAACAAAAACAGCATGATATTGGCACCCAAACAGACTGATAGACCAATGGTACAGAATAGAGGACACAAAGACTAACCCACAAAACTACAATTATCTTATATTAGACAAAGGTGCCAAAAACATTCATTGGAGAAAAGATAGCCTCTTCAACCAACAGTGCTGGGAAAACAGGAAATCCATATGCATCAAAATGAAATTAAAACCCTATCTCTCACCATGCAAAAAACTCAACTCAAATTGAATCATGGACCTAGGAATAAAACCAGAGATCCTGTGTCTAATAGAAGAAAAAGCATGCTCTAATCTCCATCATGTGGGATTAGGCTCCAACTTCCTTAATAAGACTCTTTTGGTGCAAGAATTAAAATCAAGGATTCAAACTAAAAAGTTTCTTCTCAGCAAAAGAAACAAGCTGTGAGGTGAACAGAGAGCCTACATTTTGGGAGCAAATCTTTATTCCTCACACAGCAGATAGAGCACTATCTCTAGGGTATATAAAGAACCCAAAAGCTAAGCACCAAAAAAAACAAATAACCCAATTGATAAATGGGCCAAGGACCTGAACAGACACTTCTCAGAAGATGATATACAATTAATTAAAGTAAGTTTATTAATTGTATCAACACACCTACTAGGGATTTAAATATCTACACCAGATATTTTCTCAAATATTTCCGCTCACTGATAATCGAGCACACACAGACACAATTCAAAGAATAAATTCAGCAGTTTCAATGATATATTTTGTTTATAGTCACAAAAGAACAAAATATTTAAAGATAATTAATATTTCCTGGAGTGTTTCCCCATAGAAATCAAAACATTATTAGATCTGACTTAACACCCAATGCATGCACGCTGTTAGAAAGTACTTCTGTTCCTCAAATGTGTGACCTCCTTCCCCAGGTCATATTGATAATTATAAATGCTAATCAGTCTCATAAATTCAGTTAACAACTTTTATGATGCTCTACAACAATAAAGATATAGCACCCTCAATATCTTGCAGGTACTATTTGCATTGACATCTTGTATAATGAATCTTGTTGGCTTGCTTCAATTTATAGAACTGACCAAACCCAGTGATCAGACCCAGTTCAATGATCTCAAAGCAAAGTTTGAAGGACACGAAACTGGGAGCAAAGAGATTGTTTGTTTTGTTTTCCTAACTTGGCACTAATTTAAGATCCAGGAAACTCATATAAACTTCAGTTCCCACATATATCTAACAAGCTGATAGAATGAGAGATTCCCTGAGATGCCTCTCAGACCAGTCATCTATAATTCTGCTTGATTTCTTTACTGGTGAGCATACATCTCTTATTTCTACCTACAGGAAGATCCCAACAAGCAGATTATAGAGAACTCTAGTGCCCAGCCCTTGACTTTAGCCATAATTACCTGAATACACAGTATCGACTGGGCATTCATTGAAGGAGATATTCTGGACTTCTCAGAAGTGTAAGTAAATTATCAATAGGATTTTATTTTTGGTTGAGTATATGAAGTATCTCAAGGGTTGTTTGAACAACTGACTTTCTTTGCTTGCTCAAGGTCCCCACTTTCTTTGCACCTCACTATTGAGCAGATGGCCTGCTGGAAGTTGTTGCTGACCACCACGTAGAGTAACAGGTTACCAAATGTGTTCAGAGCAGCCAAGGGTCTACAAACGATGTAAGCTTCGTGGATCTGATTCTCGATGGAGCAGCTGATGGAAAGCAGGCGAGATTCAATCCGAATGACCCTCAAGACATGGAATGGTAAAAAACATATATAAAATACGAGCAGGAGCAGTATGGTCAGCCTGCGCGCTTTCTGTTTAAGGCAGCTCTGAGTCTGAGGTCCGTGAGTTAGGGTGTTGATAATTGTCGTATAGCAAAGTGTCACGATCACCAAGGGGAGGCAGAAGGTGGTGGCAGTCAAAATTAGATTGTACCATTTGATTGTGGTGAGGTCATCTGAACTGGTGAGGTCAAGACAGGTGGATCGATTGGTCATGTTAGTTGATGTAATCAGGAAGGTCATGGGCATGACCGCCACCAGCGAAATGATCCACACCACCGCACAGGCTAGCACCGTCCACCGAGTCTTGTGGATGGAAAAGCAGCTCATTGGGTGGATGATGACGATGTAGCGGAAGATGCTGAAACAGGTGAGCAAGAGGATGCTGCTGTACAGGTTGAAATGGAAGCCGAAGCGGATGAACTTGCACATGAACTCCCCAAAGATCCAGTTTTCCCCGCTGGCGTAGTAGTGGATGAGGAAAGGGAGGCTGGTTAGGTACAGCAGGTCAGTGCAGGCCAGGTTCAGCATGATGATGGTGCTGCTTCTCCAGGGCCGCATTTTGAAAATGTAAGTGGAGATGGCTACTGCATTCCCCGGGAAGCCCACGAGAAAGATGATGCCATAGATAACAGGGAGGTAGTGCATCTTGAGGGAGATTTTTTCATCAGTGCAATTTCCAAAAGCAGCTGCATAATCGGGGAAATCAGAAGCGTTTGCTAAACCATCCAGTGGCTCATTCATGGTTGTCTCCTTTCATCTTGCAAGGAAACAAGAGGGTTCACTTTAGCAACATGAATGAAGTAAGGAGTAACTGGCTGGGAAAGGAAAACAGAAACCATTAATGAGAAGGGAATGAAAACAATGATCGACTTTTAAATGAAAATTGCTCTTAACACCCTAAATTTGCCACTTTTTTTTTCCTCTTTAATCTCAAAAGAGACCCTGTGGAGAAGAGATTGAATTTCTCAGAAACTGACTGTGAGGCAAGTTACTAAAGGCATCTAATAATAATATAAAAGTTAAATTGCCATGAGAATTAAAGTGAAGGATTGGGAAAGAAACCGCACGTGGCGGTGGAAAACAATTTGTCAAGGTGACTGTTTGGCAAGTCATCGCTATCATCATTGGAGACCCGGCAACAAGGCCAAGGCACATCTCTGACATATTAAGTCTAAGTTCATGAAATGTTGCAAAATGTTTCTTATTGTCTCTCTTTTACAGAAGACACTAAGACCAAGAGAGGTTTTGCAACCTGTCCCTGGTAACACACCTGGTGGCTTAGCAAGGGATCCAGCCCCATGTTCTTCTGATTTCAAAGCTGTTCTCTAACTTACCTCTCTGAACTCTCAATCTATATTTTATTGATTTTTCAACAGTGTTATGGTTTGGATGTGAGATGTACCCCAAGAGCTTACATGTGAAACAATATAAAATGGTTTAAAGGGGAAATAATTGAGTTATGAGAGTCTTAACCCAATCAGTGAATTAATTCCCCTGATGGGATTAACTGGGTGGTAGCTGAAGGCAGGTAGGGTGTGGCTGGAGGAGGTGGTCATTGGGATCATGCCTTTGGGGTATATATTTTGTTCCTGGGGATTGGAGTCTCTCTCTCTATTTCCTGCTCTTCATGTGAGCTGCTTCCCTCTGCCACACTCTTCTGCCATGATGTTCTGCCCCACCTTGAGCCCCAAGGAATGAAGCCAGCCTTCTATGGACTGAGACCTCTGAACCATGAGCCCTCAAAACTTTTCCTCCTCTAAAATTGTTCTGGTCAGATCTTTTAGTCACAGGAGTAAAAAAGCTGACTAAGACAGCCAGGATTATCCTCAATAACTAAGGGAACAGGAAGTGTGAAAACGTGAAAAGACTGAATACTGTGAGTTTCTTAAATCTGGATTTTTAATGCATTGCAACGTCATGTGTGTGAAAGATTCAATTGCAAATTTCCGCTCTTCTAATCTGTTTTAACAGCAGCTCTAATCTATTCGTGTGTGTGTGTGTGTGTGTGTGTAGGGTGGGATCAGCTGTGCAGTGCAGCAGTTAGGAGCTTGGGCTGTGGGGGCAGGGGGAATGATCTTGATGCTGGTTTAGCCATTTAGTAGCTCTGGGTCCTTGAGCAGGTTGCTTATACATTTTAGGGCTGGAGGAAGTGCAGTTTTAACTTCCTTCATCTGGATTCTCAGTTTCTTCTAACATTTTGACAGTGAGTTTTTGCAATGACTAAAGCACAAAGACTGTTTAAAAAGAGTTACTTAATTATAATGGATTCAAATAGCTGTTGGTAAAATACATCCCCTTATACACTGGTGAGGCCCCCACTGTGTATTAATTAGGCACTCTGCCAGGTCCCAGAGATAACGAATGAATAACCACAGAGATGTACTGGGGGAGATAGACACAGAAATTTATTTTAACAAAATATAACCTTATCTCATGGAGCTGTAAACATATTTTGTAAAATAGCAAGAAAAACACTTGGCACACTCCCAGGCACATAATAAGCTCAATAAAAGTTAGGTGGCTGTTAATCGTTAAGCCATTTGATAGAAAAATGACCCGAGGATACTGAGACCACACACACACACACACACACACACACACACAGAGTTACCTGGAGAACAAGAAAGAGCACTAAAGGAAAGTCACTGAGAGGGAACATTTAAGCTGAATTTAGCAAGAGGAAGGATTTTTGGAATCAAGGATGGGAAAGGTATTCTATGCGAAGGGGACAGCAGCTTGTGCAAAGGCACCAAGAGATGACAGGGACAGGGAGGTCCGGGACCTTACTAGCCAGCATGGCTGCTCTGTTAAGGGGCACTGGGAGATGAAGATGGAAAAGAAAAAAATAACTAATGAGAAAAATAACAGTGCCTCCTTTGCAGAAAGCACTCCTCTAATTCAAATTCATCTAATCCTCCCAACAGATGAGGTAGGACTGTGCTTGTCCCCATCTTACAGAGGCGTGAAGAGGCAGTGTGCCCAGGGTCCCAGTGCTGGCTGCAGATGAGCCATCTGCCTGCAGGACAGGCTGCCTCTCACAGTGAGGAAGCAACAGTGCCCCACGGTAATGAAGATGAGTTGGATGTTGTCCCAGGAGAGCTCAATAAATCACACGCTGCAACGGTGACCCAGGGCTAAATGCCAATAATACCTACTTCTTTGGGTTGAGAGAGATTAAATGATTTAAATAATTTAAACACGGAGTTGAGAAGGGTGCCTGGCTCCTGGCTTGTGCTCTCTCAGTATTTCCTGTTATTATTGCTATTATCTGATATTAAATCTACACTATCAAGCATTTCCTCAGAGTAGTATTGAGACATAGTTCAGACTGGCCCAAACTAATGAATCTGAAATTGGTAGGCAAGAGGCAAGCTGTCGGCTCTGAACATGAACTTCCCTGCATGATGGTGCCTTTTAACCACCACCTTCTGAACTGTCCTCTCCTGATCTTTCTGTTCTACATGAAATGAGCTATTTGACTGGAGGACCCCTACTCGCCCATCCACATTTACTGTACAGCCTGAAGTCACATTCAGAGGTCCACTAGGAACCTGGGCAGCTCTCTGGCTTTCCCCTATCCTCTCTCTAATGCCCAGTCCAGCTCCTGGGCCATCACTGAAGAGCATCTGATGATGAAATGATGAAACCATTTCCTGTCCCGTTGACTGGCCTTCAGTAGACTCCTCCAGACCTCACTTAGGGTGCAGGATGGAATGCATACCTGGTCATTACTCTTATTCTGTATGAACTGGGGAAAGAATGGGTCAGGGATATGGGGCTTGCCTCTGTCACTGTTAGGATGCTCAGGGGAGAGGATCTCTGGGACCATGCAGTGCTGAATGGGTGGGCTTCTGGTTGAGTTAACTTACTCTAATTGGAAGCACTATGCACAGAACTAGCACCTTCACAGCCCTGGAGGTGACAGGAGTCAGAACCCCCACCCCCACCCCCCAACCCCCCGACCCTGCGCAGCAAGGTGCTCTGAGGCCAGGAACCCACACGGGACAGCCTCTCCCTTGGCCAAATCCCTTACATGGGATCCTGCACCGAGCACAGGCAGTAACATAACCCTGAAAGGAAAGGGTCACAGTCAGGAATCCCTGGAGCCCCCACCTCACAAAGTCAGTTCTGAGGATGTCCAGAGGCCACTCACTCACTTGTGTTTCTGAAGCAAAGATGTAAAGATTGTTTTGGTAACAACCAAAGGAGTCTTCCAGAATATCTCATTCTAATTGGAACTTGGCTTAACGAGACGTGAGAGGGAGAGAAGGGGCGAGAACTCCAGTCCAACATGCTTTCAGTTCCATGAAAGCAGAAACACAAGACACCCCATACTACCCAGGGGACGATACTCAGAAGGGGCTCAATAAATATTACTGAATGCATTAAAGAACAGTCGGTAGCATCAGCAAATGGTATTCTGTGCTGAAGGGCCAAGGAAGATGTACCTATAATTCAATGACAAAACAAAAACCAGAGCTTGTTTCCGTAACGTCTTAGAGTAAGGATCAAAATTACTACTCTTGTCATTGCCAAATAAAACCCTGGCCTTGATCTGAGGACATTTTTAACAATAATCACATCAGGCAAAGGCAGGTTGTAGGTAGAAAGAACCACCTTATTGTTTTAAAAAGCAACAGTTCAACTTGGAATTTAATGGAGACTGACTAACCAATTGGAAGGCAAAAGGGATTGACTGAGAAACTTAAGCTGTCTTGCATAACCTCACCAAAGGTGTGGTCTGAGTTTACAAAATATGTGTGATATTAAGAACAAAACACAAAAACCAGCTTGTGCAGTGGGAAGGTAGGGTGAAGCAGTTTCTCTTCTCCCTCATTCCAGGGTCCCATCATTCATGCAGTGATCCAGAATGCCCAGTCCACAAACAAAACAGTTAAACTTTGAGGACATTAAATAATAATGTGCCAAAGCCCCAGGGGAATTCCCTGTTTTTTGCCACAATAGAGGTTCTGGGACTTGAGATTACAGACCACCCCGGACTAATGGGCTCTTTATATACTGAAAATATGGATGTCCTGAGCTTCCATGTTACCCAATATGTGAGTGTTAACCAAACTCTATGCCCTGTGAATAAAAGCAAGCACCAAAGGTTTGGGGCTTTTTGAAGAAAAAAATATAATTTAAATCTCGTGTCTTTTCCATTGAAGTTGAGGAGAGGTTATGATCCTTTGAGGCTAGCTATAGACTGTCAGTGTTTGGAACCCCCTGTCTTAATGCCTGCTCACCCCTGAACTTCACAGACTGAGAATCCCAGGTGCTGGGTAAAGAAGGCAGAGTCAGAAGCGGTATCCACCTGGGGATTGGCATGTACCACTCCACCTCCACAGAGTCCGCCTGCCCATTCAGTGGAGTTACTGACATGAGATGGTTCTAGGGTGTCTGTCAGCTTTGCAGTAAACCATTATCCAACCACCACCCCCTCTGCGAGCTCCGCCTCCTTCTCCCCTCTCACCCTGGGCATTTCCCATGCTGCTGGCCCTTCACAGCTGGCTCTCTCCCCTTATCCCAAGCTGCCAATGGACTAGGAGGAACACACTGAGTGCACATCCTTCACTTCTCCAGTCCTTGGAAGCTCATCTGCTGAGGTCGCTTTGCGTCACCAGGCAGAGACTTTCATTCCCGTACTAAGTTGATTCCAGAGGGGTGGAAACAGCAATTCTTAACCTAGAAAATTTGTGACTGGGTGAATATGATTTCTCCCTCTCCTCACCCCTTCTAGGTGTCCTAGGCTCTTATCTCCATACGGAAGGGCCACGATCAATTCAAAAGATGAAGACTGCTCCTTCCCCAAAGTAGCCAACCCCAAAGACCCCACACTTCGTGTTGAAACAATTCGAACTGTGCTAGACACTGCGGACCTTCTCTCTCTCTCTCTCTCTCTCTCTCTCTCTCTCTCTCTCTCTCTCTCTCTCTCTCCCTCCCTCCCTCCCTCCCTCCAGGATCCAGGGTGCTCCTGCTGCCTCCAAGAGAAGACACAGTGGGGAGGAGGCGCTGCTCTGCCCAGCCCGCTGTCCTGCATCGGGACACCGGGCACCGGCCAGCTCGGGACTATGCAGGGTCCCCAAGCACCTGCTCCCTCCGCTTGCCGCCCGGCTCCCAGATAGCTCTTCCCGGTAGCGCTGGGCTCACCTGGTACCCTGGGGTCCGCCGACGCCCCGCCTGGCGGTCGCACTCTGGCTGCTACAGGGCGGGCAGAGGCGTCCCAGCAGACCCGCGCGCCGCCCCGGCCCCTCCCACCACGCCTGACCCTGCAAACAGGTGCGCGCTCTGACCCCACCCAGCAGAGTGGCGGGCAGCATCCTCCCCCGCTGCCTTTCCAGGGCACTGGGGACAGCAGCTTCCACTCCTAGGATCTCAGGACAGCCTCTGTCCCAGTTGGCGTGAAACTGGCCCAAAGGAAGTGTTTGCAGAGGTGCAAACAGCCTGGCAGGAGGGTGCTCCTCCCAGAAGGGTTGCGGTTCTGGGCCTCTTATTTAGCACCTAGTGGAAGTAACTTACTAAGGGTTGTCCTTTCAGGGCGTCCATCTACAGTCCTGCCCTCCACCGCTCAAGGTGGTTTCAGATACTTTCTGTCAGTGTGGGACAAATTATTTTTGGACAAATTATTCTCAGTTTTACTGTTTCTAATCAAATAGTTCAAAGTGAACATCACTTTTGACCCTATGTTGTCCCATTCTTTCGTCTGCATTCTCCAGATCTAGGAAGTAATGCTGTCCCCATGTGACTTGGGGACAGCACCTTCCCTTCTCTGAAACTCAACTGCAGCATCCAACACAACAGGACCCAAGCCGGTGACTTCGAAGGTCTTCCACCTGCAGAGAACACCGGCTCTCTGCTGCGTCCTGGAAGAGTGTTGAATGTACCTTCTGGGGTTCCTTGATGATGGACAGTAAATAGCCTCAAAGAGTCCAGGCAACGTGGAAATGGTCTTAAAGATCAGCTTACTTAGAAACAAGTATCAGGTCCTAGAATTTTAGATATGGAAGGGATATTTTAAAATATCTATTCTTGGAAATGCAAAACGGTGCAAGTGCCAAGGGAAAACAGTGAACAGCTCCTCTAAAGATTAAAATAAAGAGTCCACCCTCTGATAAAGCCATCAGCAGGAGCAAGGATGCTAAGCCAGGCGTCCCATCGCCCAGGTGAGATGATTGGCATAATCCTGTATTGGATATTATCGTTATTATTATTATCACCCTTATGATTATTTTTGCGTCAGCCCCTCTGGGAAATATTTTGCATATTTGGACAAATTATTCTCAGTTTTACTGTTTTTAATCAGATAGTTCGAAGTGAACATCACTTTTGACCCTATTTTGTCCCATTCTATACATTCATCCATCCGACATTGCTACATAATTACACTATGTCAAGTATTGAAGGGATAGTGAAGAATAACACAAAGTCTTTTCCTTTCAAAAACTAATATCCTAGAGAAAAATTAACAAATTAAAAATGCGATTAAGGTTTGACACTGGCAAATAAGGATGCGACAAGGGCCAGAACTTATGTAGAGGAAAGAGTGGTCAGAAAAGCTTCTCTGGAGTAAACCTCATTTAGACATTTTTCCATAGTGAGTAGAATTTTCAGGAAAAGAGGAAATAGCCTAAAAATTAGGTTATTTAAAAACAAGTATTGGGTCCTGGAATTTTAGATGTGGAAGGGACATTTTTAAATGACAATTCCTGGAAATGCAAAATGGTACAAATACTGTAGAAATAGTATAGTGGTTCCTCTAAATATTAAAAATGGAATTATGATCCAGCCCTTCCACTTTTTAAGTAAAGAATTGATAACAGGGATTCAGAGGGATATTTGCATACCCAAGTTCATGGCAACATTATTCACAATAGACAGAAGGAGGAAGCAACAAGCATCTATCAATGGATGAATGGATAAACCAAATGTGATGCATACAGACAATGAAATACTAGTCAGCCTTAACAAAGGAAAGCAATTCCGACACGTGGTGGACCATGAATGAATCTGGAGGACATGATGCTGAACAAAATAACATAACAAAATAACATAACGGTCCCAAAAGACATACTGCATGATTCTGCTTGTACAAGGTTCCCAGAGTTGTCAGATACATAGAGATGGAAGTAGAGTGGAGGTTGCCAGCTACCAGAAAAGAGGGGCTATGGGGAGTAATTGGTTAATAGTATGGAGTTTCAGGTCTACAAGATGAAACGTTCTGTGGATTGGAAGTAGTAGTGATGTTTACACAGCAGTGTGGATATACTTAATGTCATTGCATGATTAAGATATTAAATTTTATGTTTGTTGTTTTTTACCACAATTTTTAAAAAGCTGTTTTTTTCTGAATGCAGTCTTCTGGTCCTAGCTTTACAAAAGATTTTGAGAATTAAGAGAAGCCCAAGTGACAAGCCTAAGGTCAGGCCTGTGTAAAGCCAAGGCACCAAGCCCTCTGTTCTCCCTACCTTCTGCATTCTGGAAGTAGCTGGGCCACTCGAGGGAAACCATTTATCAGACCAGAATTTGCCATAATCCAGTACACTAAATTGCTCCACCAACGTGATTACTAAGAACTAATGGCCTTTTAAATATTTTATATTTTGCTTGTAAACATTGCTTATTATGATTCAAAATCCCTGCCAATGCTGTAAGGCATTGCAGATTTAAAAAAATACTCCCCAATATATTTTTTCTCCTTTTTGACATATTAAATATATATGGAGTGTAACTCCCAATGTAGATATTAAAGTCTCTACAGAAAGAAAATATGTCTTTAAATCAACTTGCATTAGAAAGTGATGTAACTCTTTTAGACTATCCACTAAACTTCAAATTTGGGACCTTGAGGTTATCCTTCATCAACTTGAAGTGAAGAACTTATGTAACTGTAAAATTGGTCTCTTGGCCAGATGCAGAAGTGCACTTTCTTCTTCAAAATGAGCACCCAATGGAGCGGGATCCTGGCACTGAAATTCACAACTACTCAAGCAGCACAGGTGTCACCTGTCATGTGCTGCAATTGTGCCTTTGAAGCAAGGGATGGGGCTTATTTTCATGATGATCAATAGACTCAAAACCTCTCTAATTAGGAGGCACTGACACCTTAGAGTCTCCTGCAAAAAAAAAAAAAATACTGCACAGAAGGCAACATCAGTTAGCATTCTCCCCAAAGCCATTAAGTTGGTTGGCAGGGGGAAGAGGGGAGAAATAAGATGTTAGCTCTCATTCAGAGTTTTATTGAGAAGAGAACAAATAGTCTGAGTATGGGCCATTTTGTTCCCCTCTCTCTTGGTCATCATTACCCAAACTTTGGATAATCATGAAGCCCATTTCTAGAGTTCCAGCTACAGCTGACTTTGCCATTCCTGGCCCTTTATAGCCTTGTCCTACTTTTTTTTTTTTTTGGTTATAATATGATATGTTTGTATCAGAATATAATATTGAATCTCATGGTATCATTTTCATGAGATGCCTTGATGTTTTGGAACAAAGGTTAACTTAGTCTCTAATGCCCTTAAGATGGATTTCTCAGTGAAGGTGGACTGATGAAATCAAGTCAGGTTTTGAACTACACTCTACTAGGCCACACCTTGAATCAGTGTAGTGTTTTCCAGATCCCTACAATATTTCCTTGATGACCAGGAAGACTTACGGCACTGTGGAAGGAGAGGTACTAAAGTGTCAGGTCCAAATTTTAATTTTGAAAGCAACTCAATTAGAGGGAAAAGGAAATTCCCTTTCAGGCATCTTTGAAACCACTGAGGAAAAGCCAGGGCAATTCCAGATTCAAGGGATTTTTGTTGTAAAAATCTAGGAGAAACTTCAAGAATTGTTTATTTCTTTTAAAAATGAGTATTTAATGTTGGGCCAGTGTGAGTCACTTTCTGTGCTTTTATGTGACCATCATCTGTTGCTTTTAAATATATTTTCAAAAAGATGTGTCATCGTGGACACTTTGAAAAGGGTTCTTCTGGACAGTTTAGAAGCTACTGAGGAAGACGTTGGTTAGATTGGCTATTGAGATCTACCTGGAGTGTGATTTCAGGGACAGCATTGAGGTCTTCCAGAAGCACATAAAGAGCCGGACAGGAGGACAGCAGTTAAAGACAGGAGGGCCTGTCTGCTCGGAGCCACCAGAGGGTGACAAATGATGACCAATGGAGGCAGGAAAGACTGAAGGAAATGCAATATAGAAAAGTAGTCTAAAGGAGCCAGAGAAGAGGGATTCCTCAAGAAATTGACATCTTCATCTTTGCTGGTGCCAGTCCCTGCTTGGATTATCCTGATTTGAATCTGATAATTTCTTTAAGATCTATTAAATACTCTATTTGCCCAGAAATACTTGCTTCTCCTCTGAATTCATACTTTACTTGTTGTCTGTACCATACAATATTTCATTTATTCATTTTAAGTTCTTAAATGATTTTAAAAAGTTACAGTAGTCTTATAGACTTGAGTCTTGATGTTGAACAGAATGGCCCACACCTCCAGAGAAAGCTGTTCATATTCTCCTCTCTGGGTATCACACAGCTCCTTAAATAGGTACATCACATGGAAGGCAATGATGATTACCTACAGTATCAGGCAGTTACTAGAACTAAGAGTCTTATTCCTCATTTATGATAATTAATACTGAGTTCTTTAGATTTTTTAGTTACTAGTGAAGACTAAGGTCACTGGTCTCTCTC